CACAATACAATCTGTTCCTTTGGCTTCGGCCCTTAGTGATCTTCACTTGTTGCCTAAGCTGCAGGCGTTCGTGTAGAATGCCGAAAATCCCTAGCGCCAGCCCCCTCCTAGCATTGGCGCCACCGGAGTCTAATGCGCACTCGGGCAACCCGACCGAGTACTCTCTTAGTTTTTTGTCGCCGGCATACCTTTGGCCCTCGGTCACTGAGGCACCGTGGTGGGGGTGACGGCTACACTAGCCCTACAAGCCACCGTAACCCACAATCTTTTACTAGTCTCCAACTGAGTAGGTACACTTGCACTCGGAATGTAAAACTTGATCTTCCGAACATATGTGGGCAGTATCGTCCTTCCTATTGAGGTATGCCCTGGGTGTATGTCGACCAAATCGCAAGTGAGTGACACGTAGCCAAAATTGATATGAATTCCAAAACAAAGCGCGATTGATTCCTAGTGTTCTACGGTACTGAATTAGGGAAATCATTACAAAATGCTCAATAAAGCAAACCTCAAATTCGTAACCAAAAGCAATCAAGCAAGCGATAGCCAAAAATGATGTCCAGAGAGAGCCAATAAGTCGCCCACGTTCTCTGAAAACGCCAAATACAAATCTGGCGGATATCGAAGCAACAGATAAAGAATAATTTGGGGTGTTTGTCACTGAGAAAAGCCAACAGAGAAGCAACACACGGATAGAGTTTTTACATAAAATCATCGTGAGTTTGGAAGGATTTTCCGAAAAATCAACATAAAATATATCGGCCGCCAAAATCCTTCCTGCGCTCGTCTGAGTCAAAGGGCTGATGCAGGTCATTGATTCTTGCCTGCCTATCTACCTACCTTGTCCCTTCTGTCAGTGCTTCTTACTACTAACTGTTCAATCTTCGCCACGTTCGTCGATCTGGAACTCCGATGAATTTTACGTTCCTTCGTTGAGATCTGCCCTCTGCATTAGCAAGCTCGCAGCCAGTCGCACGATAAGGATAACAGGGGTTCAAATGTCTATCACTACAGATAAAGTCTCGAATATGTAAACAAGGGGGTATATATGGACGGTGTGATCATCGTTCGTGTTTAAAAATGAAACCATGTTCAGCATGAGGAGGATAGTGTATATGTGAATGGATGAGTGTTGTGAGGACATGGATCAAACCGTCGAGGTCCATGTTATAAATTTTGTATCATCCAAATAAATAGACACAGTCACGAAAGTGAAATAGAGAGGACGTTTGGTAAGGACGTGAAAGCAAGGGTTCTTACAGGTGGAGTAAGTAGAACTGGAGCGCAATTGGTACAAGGGGGCATGCGGTCTTTACAATAATAATAATAATAATAATAATAATAATAATGATATATTTCATGAAGCCCACGAAGCATACTAGTGTGCATAATCAAATGTACAACAATGTAAAAATGACAGTGGAAACAAAGTTGTAGTACAGACTGTAAGAACGTAATTTTCAAAAGGGTACGAAAGATATCATAAATGTGCCATATGGTAAAGAACGAAACACAAACCGGACTAGGTCATATGATGGAGCATTGGGGGTGATGTGTTATGCAGAGCAAATCAATGTAACAGCTAGCTTATGAAAAACATTAGGCAAGACAAAACTGGAAGTTAAAATATCCGTTCAAGAGAAAATGAGCGGAAACAAGTTAGAAGAGCAGGTGTATTGTGAAGAAGAAACATTATTAATTTTGGAAGAAGCGCTGCAAGCGAGCCCGAGAAGAGCGGAGTGGTTCAGTGATGCCGAATGGCTTATAAATAAACTGTTTCAAAATGTCTATACAGTTGGGAGGACTTCTGTGATCACGGAACAATGGGCTTTGGGCTTCACCGTTAACGGACAGATTGGTTTTATATTTATATTATTGAGGCGTTGGTCGCNGACTACACGCTAGACACCCAACCTTAAAACACCTTGTAGGTGAGGCAGAGGGTGTGATCCTCGATCTGGTTCGGAATGCAAACGCAAGTGGTCAAAAACGGTAAATACAACCGAGCCCAACGACCATTGCCGGAGTCAGGTTGTCCATTGTGGGGGTAGACCACAAGACTTCGGCAGGCCCAAACCAATCAAATCTGAAAGAAAAAGGCGAAACTCGGCAGTCTTGGTTAACACCCAGCTGAGAAGAGAAGAGGGGAACAGCATGTTGCGAGAAACTATGCGGAGAGCCTAAGTGCCCGAAAGTATATATGTTTAAAAGGGAGTTGAGCTGGGGTAGAACCCAGCCGAATAGAAATGAGGAGGAATATAGTATTTCATGAAACAATATACGGAGCGCGCAACGTTTCGAAAATATATAAATATATGTAACAGAAAAAGACGCACCGACAACAGATCGCAACGATCGAAGTTGAAGAGTGAATACTACCAAAATGTCAGCTTGTCCCGAAGATAAGAATCGACCAGATGGATGACATGGAGGGACGAACCTAGATCTTCAACGATTATGAGTGATAAACCCAGTGCAGGTTTTTACGTGGCAAGTTTTTGTTCCACTGATCAAGCTTCGAAGCTCGACTAGTGTACTGATTAGAAGCAAGTTAGAGTGTGAGCACTGCTGCATATTGAGCATGTGCCACGGTGAAGAGGTGGATGAGGGGTTGATTCCACTTCTCGAGATTTGAGACTCCGGAAGTGAACTGTATGTGAGTAGACAATGGGATACAGTGTGAGTATGACTGCTGCATCAGAATGTGTCACAGGTAGAGAGAAACTTAGAGGTGAACTGTGGGTTAGAAATTTGATCAGGTAAGTTGTTTGGGTGCTATAGTCTAATTAAACAATCACCATTAGCTTTTCCTTCCACTTCATGAGCTCTTAAAACTCAAAAAGTGTACCACGTATGACGAGATGTTTAGTCAGGATGGCATTTGTGAAAGACCATCAAAAAGATATATGAGATTGGGGTGCAGGTTTAGTTGTGGATAGGTGACATTACTTTTATTAAGTATTCACCGAGTGGGATTGGTTCCACTTCTCGAGGTTTGAGACTCTGGAAGTGTACTGTGTGTAAGGAAAGTCGAATAGGTTTTTTAAGGATGTTAGGATTCAATAGTCTAGCCCGTTTTCAAACACTATGGGTGTGATATGTTTGTTGTGAAGTTCGATGATTTTGGTTGCATTCAGAAATTTACGAATTCGATTCCTGAATCTGTTGCTGGGTGTTGTTTGTCTAATTTCGACTGGGATTTTATTCCGTAGGCTCGAAT